TTTCTTAGTTTTTAACAAAAAAGTTTAAAAAGTAAAAAAAAAAAAAAAAATTTTAACTTTAAAAATAGAAAAAAAATCTTATAGAATGAGGATATAAAGAAGGAAAATATTACTGTTACAGCTGTACAATGTGTTGTACTTTAAGCTAATTGTTATTATAAAAGAGGCAAACATTTTTAAAAATTAAAAGTTTATAAAGTAAAAAAATTACAGGCCGGGCGCGGTGGCTCAGGCCTGTAATCCTAGCTCTCTGGGAGGCCGAGGCGGGCGGATTGTTTGAGCTCAGGAGTTTGAAACCAGCCTGAGCAAGAGCGAGACCCTGTCTCTACTAAAATTAGAAAGAAATTAATTGGACAACTAAAAATATATAGAAAAAGTTAGCTGGGCATGGTGACGCATGCCTGTAGTCCCAGCTACTCGGGAGGCTGAGGCAGGAGGATCACTTGAGCCCAGGAGTTTGAGGTTGCTGTGAGCTAGGATGACGCCACGGCACTCTAGCCGAGGCAACACAGTGAGACTCTGTCTCAAAAAAAAAAAAAAAAAAAATTACAGGCTAAGGTTCATTTATCATTGAAAAAAGAAAAGCTTTTTAAAAAAATTTTAGTGTACCACTGAATTTTAGTTTACCACTATACAATATATACATGTAACAGAATTCATTTGTACCCCCTAAATCTATTAAAATTTTAAAAATGTTTAGCTAAAAGAAACAAATGTAGTGCAGCCTAAGTGTACAGTGTTTGCAAAGTCTGTGGTAGTGTAGTGTCCTGGGCCTTCTCATCCTCTCGCCACCCACCCGCTGACTCTCCCAGAGCAGCTCCTAGTCCTGCCAGCTTCATTCATGGTAAGTGCCCTATACAGGTGTGTCATTTTTTATCTTTTATACCATATTTTTACTGTACCTTTCCTATGTTTAGGTATGTTTAGACACACAAATACTTACCATTGTGTTACAACTGCCTAAAGTACTCCAAACTGTAACATGCGGTACAGGTTTGCAGTCTGGGAGCAAAATGGGCCAGACCAGATAGCCTAGGTGTGCTCTAGGCTGTACCAACTAGGTTTGTGTAAGTGCACAACGACAAAATCGCCTAGTGACACATTTCTCAGAACATATCCCCATAATTAATTGATGCATGACTGTATATTAAAGAAAATAAAACATTGTTACGTTAATTAACTAAACATTGAAAAGCAACATTAGCGAAATAATTGTGCTTATTACGTATCCACGTATCAGTTTCTTAATCTCGTATCTGACTCTGATAGCATGTCGTTGACGTTTTTCTAAAGAATTTATTTTTTGATGATGTCTTATTATTTTTAATTTTTCTATACAACTGTCTGAAATTTTTTTCTGCAAATTTTATGGTTAAAAATTTTAAATTGGCACTTTCAATTCACACTTCTCTTGGACACTAATATATTTAAATGAGAAGATGTCCCCTCTGCAGGTGCTGGGTACCTGACAAGCTCTCAGCAGATTCTGCTGAGCAGAGGCTATTCTCAGTCCCATTCTTTGCATATGAAATTGCGTGAATATTTCAGCCCAGATATTTGTACGTGTGCTGTCTTTCTGCCCTAGTTCAGGATTCCTTTCTACAATAATATTTTTGCCAGATCAAACCGTTCCAATAAGTTATAGCTATTTTTAAGTTTTGAACGTTCTGTCAAATTTAGATACTTCAAATCACAGACTTTCTCAATTTCATCTCGTTTCTGCACAGAGCACGAATTTATCCAATTAAAAAGATTCTTCCCACAAATCGAGATATTCTGGAGGCTCAGTATAGAATTGCAAAACTAAATCTTGTGCAGCATTTGATTTTGATCATTCCCTTCCTTCCTCTTTTAGCAATACATTTTATGATAATAACTTCTCTGCATACAAACTTTGTTTTCTTTTTTCTTTGTTTGTTTTTTTGAGACAGAGTCTTGCTCTGTCACCCAGGCTAGAGTGCCGTGGCATCAGCCTAGCTCACAGCAAACTCAAACTCCTGGGCTCAAGTGATCCTTCTGCCTCAGCCTCCCAGGTAACTGGGACTACAGGCACACACTACCGTGCCTGGCTAATTTTTTCTATTTTTGGTTGTTTGGCTAATTTCTTTCTATTTATAGTAGAGACGGGGTCTCGCTCTTGCTCAGGCTAGTCTCGAACTCCTGAGCTCAAGCAATCCTCCCACCTCGGCCTCCCAGAGTGCTAGGATTACAGGCGTGAGCCACCGCGCCCGGCCTGCACAATCTTCTTAAAATTACTATCTTCTTAAAATTACTAACTTCTAAACTAGCAGCTTTGAGTCTTCCGTTTTCTTGTGCTCGGGGAAATCGCTACAGCCCCTGTAGTGATGTAAAAGTCAACAAACATTTTGTGCAAGCTACACAATCACCATCAACTTCCTTGAGAAACACAAGTTCAGTACTTAAATTTTCATTAAACATTTGGTTTTTAGCTCATCACTGCCAGAAGGGTTTACTGCAAATTTTGAAAGTATTGACCAATAATAAAATAAACATACAGTTGTGAACCCCGCAAAGAATGACAAAACCATTGTAACAAGAGCATCCAGCCTCCTCCACATGCTCTGGGCACTTCACAGCCACCAAACCGTAATTCCCCGTGTTTTCCGCTATCTGTCAACAGGCAACTAGGCAGCTTATTCTTTTCCCTATCTGCTGTCTGCCTCTGTGATTTCCTCCAGTCTTGTGGCTTTAAAGATCATCTGTGTGATTACAACTCCCAATTATGCCTCGTGGTCTCAGACCTTGTCCCCGAACACCAGACTTGTGTATCTAATTGCCTGCTGGCCATGCCCTCTTAATGTCCAGTGGACATCGGGACCTTCGCAAGTCCAGAATTGAACTCCTAATCTTCCCCCCAAAAAACCTGCCCCATCTTCAGTCTATCATCTCCATTTCACTTGATGACAACTTCCTACTCCCAGGTGCCCAGGCCAAAAACCTTGAAAATCACGGTGGAGCTACCTTCAATATATATGTAGGACCTGACGCCTTCTCAGCACCTCCACTGCTACCACCCCCTGCCATTCGCCTGCCAGCATAATTATTTAGTATGTTTATTATTTACCAACTCTCTCCTCCCACTAGGCTATAAGCACAGTGAGGGCAGGGATTTTTGCCAGCTTTATTCCCAGCCATGTCCCAAATACCTAGAACAGTGCCTGGCACGTAGTAGGTGCTCAGTAAATACTTTTTCAGTGGCCAAATGCCTGGAGCAACCAGTAAATTATACTCCAGTGTGAATGACTCAGTGTGAGTGATATGACAATGTCACAGCTAGAAGGGCCTCTTGATGTCATCATGTCCTCCTCAGATGAGGAAAGGCTCAGAGACATGAAGTGACTTGCCCAAGGTCACACAGCCAAATAGACTCTTCTGAGATTAATTTTGTCCTATACGATATCTTTTGTTAGAATCTGTGGGGCTTTGCCCAGCTGAAGGAATCTCAAGCGTCACTGAGTAATAGCAATGGCGATGGTGACAGTTAACGTTTGTCGAGCACTGATGCCGCGTCAGGAATGCAGCTAAGCCCTTGCATGTATTAACTCATCCAGGTTGGGGAAGGATTTTTCGGTGCTGGGGCTTGTCTGGAGCCCCAGAAATGCCACAGTGTAGGCAGCTGCTTGTTCCGTGTATCGGACTTTGTGGGTCCCCTGCTTTGCTGGCAGGAGCCCCCAAATCCACAAGTACAGGACATGATCTAGCCCTCGTGGGACCACAGAGGGCTGGGAGGCGTGCTCTGCCCTAGGGAAGGGGCAGGGTTTCTTCTCCTCCCTATCCTTCTCCCACGCGAGGCAGCCTGTGTGGCTGTGAGGGTGGCCCATTGGGTCTTGCAGCTGAGGTCCGCAGCCCAGCACAGTACTCGCCAGCTGGGTCTCCTTAGAAAAGCTAGTTGACTCCTCTGAGCCTGGCTCACTCACCTGCCGGGTGGGGACATCACATGCAGCAGGACCAAGGGCACAGGCTTTCGAACCAGACTGCCCGGGTTTGAATCCAGGCTCCGCCACGGACCAGCTGGGTGACCCCGAACAAGTGACTCAGGTCTTAGCTCAATTTTTTGATCAGCCAACTGGAGATAATGGCCCCCACCTCCCAGGGCTGCTAGGAAGATTAAATGAGAAAATGCTTAAATGGGAAGCACTTTGAACGGTGCCTGGAACATAGAGAGCATTTAATAAATGTTAGTTGTTATCCTTATGATTTTATTAATCATATTTTTGAAGCCCTGCTGAAGAATCCTCTCATTCTGGAAGCCTTCCGCCATTTCCCCCAGCCTGTCCACACCACTGGTCCCTGTGCCAGCAATCGGCTCCCCGCTGACTGTCCCCTTCCTAGGCTTTGATTCCATCTCAGGTTACGACCACTGTCTCCATGTCCGTGTCCCCTCTGGACAGTTAGCACCGTGAGGTTGAGACTGCTTTGTCCTGTGTATCTGGAATGCGTGGCAAAGTGCTGGGACAAAGTTGGTGCTCAGTAAACGTCTGTTACACTGTCAATAGTAATGCTTGTATGGTTGTTAATAAGACTAATGGCCGCTTCCGTGGGGCGTTTCCCCTACACCAGGCACCATGCTGAGCACCCCATAGTATTATGGTCAGGCCAAACCACAGTCCCAGAAGAGTGATAGGATTTACTGTAATTTTTTAAAATGAAAGTAAAAGTCAATGGATCTAAGCTGTTCACACCGAGTGGTTGTACCAGGATTTTTGGACTCAGGGCCTTTCCTTTAAACCAGAGGTCAGCAAAATTTACCTCGAGAGGAACAAAGGGTAAATATTTCCAGTTTTGTAGACCAGACAGTCTCTGTGGCAAGCACTGAGCTCGGCCACTGTAGCACCAAAGCAGCCACAGACCGTAGGTAAATGAGCGGGCATATCTGTGTGCCGATAAAACTTTATCGTCCCAAACAGGCGCCAGGCTGGTTTGGCCCGTGGGCCTTAGTTTGCTGCCTCCGATTTTATTCTATGTGCTGTTCATTTCAGGTCACCGTGGATGGCATCTTGGACGCCCCTAGAGCTCCAGTCCTCCAACCAGAGCCAGCTCTCCCCTCCCAATGCCACGTCCTGTGACAATGCTCCGGAAGCCTGGGACCTGCTGCATAGAGTGCTGCCAGTATTCATCATCACCATCTGCTCCTTCGGCCTCCTGGGAAACCTTTTTGTCCTGTCCGTCTTCCTCCTGCCCCGACGGCGACTGAACGTGGCAGAAATCTACCTGGCCAACCTGGCAGCTTCCGATCTGGTATTTGTCTTGGGCTTGCCCTTCTGGGCGGAGAACATCTGGAACGAATTCAACTGGCCCTTCGGAGCCCTCCTCTGCCGTGTCGTCAATGGGGTCATCAAGGCCAATTTGTTCATCAGCATCTTCCTGGTGGTGGCCATCAGCCAGGACCGCTACCACGCACTGGTGCACCCCATGGCCAGCCGGAGGTGGCGGCGGCGGAGGCAGGCCCAGGCCACCTGTGTGCTCATCTGGGCCGTGGGGGGGCTCTTGAGTGTCCCCACATTCCTGCTGCGGTCCATCAAAGCCGTCCCAGATCTGAACGTCTCCGCCTGCGTCCTGCAGTTCCCCCACGAGGCCTGGCACTTTGCGAGGATCGTGGAGTTGAACGTGCTGGGCTTCCTCCTGCCTCTGGCCGCAATCGTCTTCTTCAACTGCCACATCCTGGCCAACCTGCGAGGCAGGGAGGAGGTCAGCAGGACTCGGTGCGGGGTCCCTAAGGACGGCAAGACCGCGGCGCTGATCCTCATTCTTGTGGCTACCTTCCTGGTCTGCTGGGCCCCCTACCACTTCTTTGCCTTCCTGGAATTCCTGTTCCGGGTGCGAGCCATCGGAGGCTGCTTCTGGGAGGAGTTCATCGACCTGGGCCTGCAACTGGCCAGCTTCTTCGCTTTCATCAACAGCTGCCTGAATCCAGTGATTTACGTCTTTGTGGGCCGGCTCTTCAGGACCAAGGTCGGGGAACTTTATAAACGATTCACCCCTAGAAGTCTCGCTCCAGGGTCCTCGTCCCACAGGAAAGAAATCCTCCGATGTTTCTGGCGGAATTAAGACAGCAGTGAACAAAGAAGCCTGGACTTCTTATGAATTATTTATGACATAACTAGTACAATTTGGTGGGCTGAATAAAGACCCCCAAAGATATCCGGGACCTGATCCCTGGGACTTGTGAATGTTGCTATATATGGTAAAGGGATTTTGTAGATATAATTAAACCAAGGGTCTTGAGATGGTCCTGAATTATCTGGGCCCAATATAATCACAAGGGTCCTTAGAGTCAGAGGAGATGTGACCACAGATGCCATGGCCAGAGTGACAGATGCAGGGTGGGGTGGGGGAGGGGCCCAGAGCCGGGGTGGCAGGAGCCCTCTAGAGGCTGGAAAGGGCAACAAAACGGATTCTCCCGGGAGCCTCCAGAAAGAACCAACCCACCAACTCCTTGTCTTTAGCCTGGGAAAGCTGAGTTTGGAGCTGGCCTCCAGCACTGTAAGAAAATACATTCGTGTTTTTTTTTTTTTTTTT